ATCAACCCAACACCACCACACCCACTAAACCCACTTCACATGTCCTGAAGTGCCACGTCCACACGTTTCTTGAACACTTCCAGGGATGGTGACTCCAGCACCTCCCTGGGCAGCCTGTTCCAATACCTGACCACTCTCTCGGTGAAGAAATTTTTCCTAATTTCCAATCTAAACCTCCTCTGGTGCAACTTGAGGCCATTTCCTCTCGTCCTATCGCTGGTTACTTGGGAGAAGAGACCAACACCCACCTCACCACAACCCCCTTTCAGGTAGCTGTAGAGAGCGATAAGGTCTCCCCTCAGCCTCCTCTTCTCCAGACTAAACCACCCCAGTTCCCTCAGCCGATCCTCATAAGACTTGTGCTCCAGACCCCTCACCAGCTCCGTTGCCCTTCTCTGGACACACTCCAGCACCTCAACATCCTTCTTGTAGTGAGGGGCCCAAAACTGAACACAGGATTCGAGGTGCGGCCTCACCAGTGCCGAGTACAGGGGCACGATCACTTCCCTGCTCCTGCTGGCCACACTAGTTCTGATACAGGCCAGGATGCCTTCGGCCTTCTTGGCCACCTGGGCACACTGCTGGCTCATGTCCAGCCGGCTGTCAACCAGCACCTCGGTTACATTCCCTTGTCTCCTTTTCTTTCTTGCATGCCAATATCCCCGAGTTTGTTCCGTAAAAGCAAAGGATGTTTCCATGTTAATGACTGTTTAAATAACAGAATTACGTTGCTATTGTGCTTGCTTCTTTCTGTCCCAGACAATGTCCATGAATTAATTAGCGTTACAACACTGGAAATCCCTATGAATTTTAACATTTTATTTGGAACAGTCTGTGTGCATTATTGAATGATTTTACACCTCCTAATGCAAAACTGATAATATCTCTACAAACCGCTGGAGGAATGTGTGAGGTCATTAAAGTTAGATTTGCAAAGAAAATACATGGATTTCTCTCTCACATTATTCTTTCCTGTGCTGATAACACTATTTTTGAGCTCTTGCTCAGAGTGCCTTATTTGTATTGAAAGATTCTTTTATCATGTATCCTGTTCATCTACCTTTCCAAAATTTACATTTCATAAGGGAAATGAACTGTGGTTTTTCGATACTTAAAACAATCTTACAGGAAAATGGGAACTTACATTTTCAGCTGTTAGTGTTGTCTCCAGGGATAATGGTCACTGAAAGGCAGCCCAATGTGAAAAGCAAATATACATGTCAGAAATGAAAATAACAATTTATACCATGCCTCCTTCCTGTCTTTATCGCTGATAGTTTATTCCCTCCGTGAAGGAGGATTCCGGAGCAATGTTGGTGTTCTAGCATCCAGGCATCTGCATGGGAATAAAAATAATGAAGTTTTATTAAAAAGTCTCCCTGGAATCCTAAGTTTGTTCTATATTTCTGCTGATTGTTTATTATTATTTTTATTTTAAAAACAAAGGGGTTTTAAATTCATGGATCCCTGGGAGCTCACAACATAATTAACACCCTGACAGTGACTGAGGGAGAAACACTGGCAAACACAATCCCTCCTGAAAGCAACGAATCCCTCTGTACTACGTACTGAGCAAAATCTTAGTGTGTTAAGCCAGGTGGATTGCTTAAATAGATTTTTTCCCTTCAGAATCAGGTATTATAACCATAATCCACATTTTTCTGGTTTAAAATAAACTTTTTTTTTCAAAAGTGAATAGCAACATGTATTTAGGCTTAAACTTACCACTCTGTATTAAAAAAATGCATACAATTTATAATATTTAAGTAATATATTCTTGATGGTTAGGTTCTACAGAAAGCTATTGAACAGGGAAGAAAAATACTTTCTATGCATCCAGAACCAAAGATTGTTGAAATGATTAAAGAGCTTCTAACAGCAGACAGAATAAATGTTTTCTTCATTTCAGTTTGATTTACCTCAATAACTAGTTCAAAGTTAAGGGACTGCTTAGAAATAGAGTAAGATGAAGCATCATTATCTTTAAATGATCTATGAATAAATTCTCAGTCTGGGATGCTGAGACTTATGAATTCATTCATTAACTGTATATAAAATTTGCTTTGGTAATAAACCAGTTTAAGTATAATATGTTTGATACATTTTTCCTCTGTATGCAACATATTTATTGCAATTTTATTTAAATAATAAATACACTTTAAAGGCTGGGGTTTTGCATTTCAATTGAATTCTCATTTCCATCCAAAGCAGCTTGATACGAGTAATAATTAAATAAAAAATAATCTTCTAGTAAAGAAAAATTATCATGTATTTCTAACAGAATGCTATGTAAGTGATAAGCATTTGAATAATTATGCTGAACTATATCATGTCTTAAATGGGAATGTAAGGTATTTTTCTGGTAGTGTATGGAAGTAACAGATTAGTTTAAAAACTAGATTCAGTTGAAAAGCAACTTTTTTTTTAAGTTTACCTACCGACCACAATCAAAATCACTTGAGGAAAAAAGAATAATACACATTCAGAATAAGCACAGAAAAGTTTTTTTTAAAAACTGTTTTACAGTTTTTGTATTTTCAAGTGAATAGGAATTATTTTCACTAAAATGATGTTTGAAAATGTCATAAGAAATAATTTTATACTGAATCCTTTTTGTGAAAAATATTTGACAGGTTTTCCAGAAATATTATAGTTCAGGGCCTTATACATAGACATTTCTGTGATATATGGGAGAGAGAATGGCTATATGAACATTAAGTCATAACTCCCTCCTTTAGGAGCACCTATACTCTGAATTTTAATTCAGTATAAAACTCCAACATTTCTAAAATTAATTGATTTCCAACTGGAAAAAATAAAGCTTTGACATTTTCTACTTATTAAAATTCTGTTTAAAACTGGTGGAAATATCAAAATGGGCGATATTTTTCCCTCAACAAGAGTAAGGCATTTAGTTTAAACTGTGATGTAACAAGAGCAACATTAATTTATTTTAAAAGATTAGGTTTATGCTTGCATTGCTATTGATTTAGTTTATATGTATATGGTGCTGGTATTTTAATTAGGAAGACTTGGTTGCTTTATATTAGGCTTTTTTCATGACTTTTCAAAATCAGAAGATTCATGTTCTTTCTTTAAAACAATAACTGCAGCGGGTCCTGTTAAATCACACAAATGACAGAGATATCTATTCCCAGCTTGCTCAAAGTTCACAGAATCACAGAATCACTAAGGTTGGAAAAGACCTCTAAGATCATCAAGTCCAGCCTTCAACCCAACACCACCATGCCCACTAAACCGTGTCCCAAAGTGCCACATCCACACGTTTTTTGAATACTTTTGTGAATTAATGAATTTGTTTCAAACATAAAATTGCTAGAGCAGCATTTCAGAGTGTAGTTTGCTAGCTCCTCTGTTGGTGTGCATCCAACACACCCAGTGTGCTTATAAGGGGAATGAAATCTCAGCAATAGAGGTCTGTGTCTCAGTGCTGGCTGAGCTAAAGGAGAAGTAAGAGATTTTATTATGTGAGTGGTGAAGAGCACATGTAAAGCAGTGAGGATCTTGCCGGTTTCAACTAAGTGCTGATATACTAATTATGCCTTAACTGCATCTCCTGTTTCCTCCTAGGTCTTACTGCTGCAGCATCTCTTGTATCCCTGGCTTGGGCTTTGGCTTCCTACCAAAAGGCCCTCCGTGACTCCCGTGATGACAAGAAACCCATCAGTTATATGGCTGTTATAATCCAGTTTTGCTGGCATTTCTTCACAATTGCAGCAAGGGTTATTACTTTTGCTCTGTTTGCCTCGGTTTTCCAGCTGTACTTTGGGATCTTCATTGTGCTGCACTGGTGCATCATGACCTTCTGGATCGTCCACTGCGAGACAGAGTTTTGCATCACTAAATGGGAGGAGATAGTTTTCGACATGGTTGTTGGGATAATCTATATCTTCAGCTGGTTCAATGTCAAGGAAGGAAGGACACGCTGTAGGCTTTTCATTTACTATTTTGTGATCCTTTTAGAAAACACCGCCTTGAGTGCTCTCTGGTATCTGTACAAGGCCCCACCAATCTCCGATGCATTTGCCATACCAGCACTGTGTGTAGTGTTCAGCAGCTTTTTAACAGGCATTGTTTTTATGCTAATGTACTATGCCTTCTTTCACCCCAACGGACCAAGGTTTGGGCAGTCACCAAGCTGTGCTTGTGAGGACCCTGCCGCTGCCTTCACCCTACCCCCAGAAGTGGCAACAAACACTCTACGGTCCATCTCCAACAACCGGAGTGTCACAAGCGAGCGGGATCAAAAATTCGCAGAGAGGGATGGGTGCGTGCCTGTGTTTCAGGTGAGACCCACCGCACCGTCTACACCTTCATCCCGGCCACCAAGGATTGAGGAGTCTGTCATTAAAATCGATCTGTTCAGGAACAGGTACCCAGCATGGGAGAGACACGTGCTGGACAGGAGCCTGAGGAAGGCGATCTTAGCGTTTGAATGTTCCCCTGCTCCTCCACGGCTACAGTATAAAGATGATGCCCTTATCCAGGAGCGCTTGGAATATGAAACCACATTGTAAGCAAAACAAAAACACCGCTTGAAGAAGCTCCGATGTTACAGTCCAAGTTAAGGGTTGACAGTAGGGCCGTAGGAATAACTAAACTGCATACTACAAGTAGAGCAGCAAGCTGTAGTGTTCTTAGTCTGGCTATCATCATGATTATCATTTGATCCACTGTGTGCAGTCTGTCTGCAGGACACTGATATAGCAGCATCACCTGAAAGCCTCAAAAATACCCAAACCCTAACCCACACATACAGACCAGTTACTTCAGCTGGGAAAATTCACCCATGACTCCGTGCTGCTATGAAACTCTGACTGCACAGTACTTGCAATCAAACCAGTAGAAAGGCTCTGACCAGAGCTTTCAACTTTAGCCAGTAGTGCATTTTATTTTAGAAATGAATGATTGATATTTGCATAGTCAATGGCAAAAGACAAACAAACAAAAACTTTTCAAAAATAACAAAACTGTAGCACTCAATGTTGCTGTTAAGAAAACTGTTTTCTGGGGAAAAAATAGGAGCATAGTAGTCTTCAACACTCCCATAAATCAATCAATCAGGTTAGAATAGGTTTGCAAAATAGTTCTTAATTAAAAAGATACATCATCATGTTTGTAAGGCTGTCAGTGGAAAACAAACTCAATTCTGATTAATTAGGTCATAAACATTAATACTAACAGAACTGTTTGTTTTCTGCGGAACTTCAAAGTCTTTTAAATGCAGTTTAAGTTCTTTATGTTACTTTCAACAGAAATCCTATGCAGCTCACTTCTGGTTTTCAGGAAAAATAAGGAGCTCTAGCACGTAGTGATGTAAATTAAATGATAATCATGATTCAGTGTTCAATTTGCAAAAAAAAAAAAAAAATATATATACATATGTAAAAGAACAGGGAAGTATAGTTTTCGTATTCTAAACTTTTTGGAGGACCCCATTCAGATATTTCAGAAGAAACTACGAGATGAACACACTGAAACTTCTCTGTTTCAGGACTGAGAATGCATGATTCAGTGTGTGAATGTATGCAGGGGTGACAAGAGACTGTGTCATGCCATACCCTTCTAGTGCCAAACATTGTATAACTGCAAGGTTGATATTGCCTGAGGGACAGATAACAAGTGGCATGAGCCCTACCAGAACAAGAAGCAGGAAAGACCAATCAAGTTCTCAACGTGTAGAGACAGATCTGATTTTTCCCTCCCAAGGTGAAAGTGATGTCTTTTAAAGGCTTTCAGCCACCTCTTAGTAAGTATATTCACTGAAGTATAATATAAGCAAGCTATGTGGAAGACCCTCTTCTGCCTGTTCAAGACTTGTGTCCAGATACGTCTAAAAATTATGTTGAATCTCTCGTAATAGAGTGCTTTTGCTGCAAGCTTTTGGGTTTTAAATACCTCCCTAAATCTAGTCAATGGTATCCTCCTTTATGTTAAAAGTATCCCCTGATGGTGCTTTCAGATGCATTAAAGGTGCAAGTCAAAATTTGATAGTATTTTTTTTAAAGCTGGTGCAGAGTGTAAAACTCATGAATTATTTCAATATTTTTGTAAAATAAAAATATGGTATAAAAAGGTTACTTTTTATAAACCTCAAATCTTTTAATACATTTCATTCTCTTTATAGCTTAGATTTTAAGAATTGGTCCATGAATTTTATCAACTGGCTTCTGCAGGTTGATATAAACCTGGTTTTCACACATTATGGATTTGTTTTGCAGTGTAATGCCATATGAAAGCCTACATGGGTACTTTTAGAATACTCTTTAAACCGTGGATCCTGCTTCAAATGTAAGTGGCTTGTAAAGACACCAAGCAATTCCATAAGAAACAATTTGCTATAACTATTTCCATCCATTTTAGGAAAGTGAAGTAGAAGTGAAGAGTTACTGTTGTTAATGGCATTGTCAGGATGGAGAAGACCTGATGATTGGTATTGTAACCTTCACTGTCAGGTATATCCAGTGTTGTCACTGCTATATATGCTGCTGGGTAAATTTCAGTCTTTCCTGTTACTAATATTTGTACTATGAAATGGCCGAGGTTACACAGCCTATGTTTATTTGTATGCGTTCAATTAGCGTTTTTAATGTTGACTTTTCTTATTAGCGAAATATTCTATATTTCTTCTTTTCTGGGGCGAGTTCCTCAAAACAAAACATCTGTGAAAGTGCAGGAATCTGCAAGTCAGAGGGAACTTTACACAGATCAGAAAACACCCATGCTTCAAGGGTTTCTTAGGTATTTTCAAATTAAACAGTGGCCAATTGCCTCTATAATAATTTTTTAAATAAAATAATTCTTTCATAGTCCAAACCTGAAGCTTTGTACAAAGTGATCACCTTTCCCTCTGAGGAGATATAGCTGATTATTCAGAGAAAAGCACTCATGTCTTCTCAGAAAATATACCACTGCAAGAACTGCTAAAGATTTTGGGAGCAAGTCCTTTGCCCTGTCAAATTCAGTACAGCCTTCGCTCCAGAGCCAAACGCTAGCTCGCACAAGGAAATTCCTGATTTTCTCTACAAACGAGGCAAATGATAAGCTTTGTAATCCAAGATGTGAGGCTTTCTTTTGGAAACAGTTTGATGTGTTTGCTGCTGCTTTAACAACTCAGAAATTTTAGCATGAGGGAGACACAGTGGGCAGTGCTCTCAAGCCCTTTGGTCAGGCCTTACACAACTGAAGAAATGTTGCTTCATACAGAATTTAAAGGGTTACAGTCTGAACCAGTGCTTACATTGCAAGGTTTCTGAAGAAGGTATGGGGTGAGTTTGATTGATTTGCTCTTGTTTGGTTTTGTAAGGAAGGACACAGCAGCTTTATTTATCCATGTGTTTTTTAATATCTATCATTTACTTTCTTTACTCTCCCAGCATTTTTAATTTTTTTTAATAATGTTTGTAAATTTATCTTAAGCAAACTACTGCAGGTTCTGAGTGCACGGTTCCATACATGACGGTACATATACACAGCTTGTCGTCAGAATTCAATCTGGCTGTTTGAGGAAGTGAGAGAAGTCATTTTATACCAAGTAAAAATTTCCTTTCCAAAACCTTGCTCTGTTATGTTTGTAGTGTCAGTGATACTTGCACTGAGAGCAGGACGGCCACTGAAATCATAATGCTCAGGTGACCACACAGACAGCTTCTTAATTTGCTTTGCTGTGAACAGTCGCATTAAAAGCTGTGAGAATTTTTTATGGAAGTCATCAAGATTAAACGTAGTCCACATTGAAATCCCATGATGGTCTTACGGACAGTTAATAATCAATATGCACTATTCTTTTTACCACAATCAGTTTTAAGATCTCTTAATAAAGTTCAATTAAGACAGCAATATAAAAAAAAGGAATTGTAAAAAAAATTAACTTCTGCTTTTGAAATAATGAAAAACATCAGGTCTTTTAAATTACATTCCAGAATAACAAAAAATGAAAAAGTTCATCATTATATTCTGGAAAAGAAAAGCAAACACATCTCTTTGTTAGAAGTAAGAGTCTTGTAAGCATTGTTCTAATGAATCAAACAAATTTAACATCAGATTTAACAGTAACTCATCTAGTTAAAGACTTGGTCCTAAAATTTTGAGAGTTGTGGATTTGTATGATACAGAAAAGACAAGTAGTATTCACTACTCTAATTAGATAAAGGAGAAGTAATGCATACCCATGTTCATTCAGAAAACATGTAAGAAAATGTAAGATAAACATTTTGTCTTATTTTAAAGGAGATTTGTTCTATAATAAGATAAACTTTTTAAAAAAAATGAATTATTTTAAAATATGTGCAATACTTTTTTCATGCAGATTTAATAATGAAAAAATTCATTTCCACTTTTGTTTGTGCCATTTTAAATACGCTTCTGTGCTAGAGCAATGTGCCTGTGTTTGGGTTATATGGGCTTGATGGCATATAAACACTACTTTCATTGACAAACAAACAAATTTTCTATTAATTATTTTCTATAATATTTGAGAAGATTTTCCTTCCAAAATTAAATGCTAGGTCTCAGCTGCCTGATTTTGTAACTTTTAAGCAGAGGTAAATTAACATTTTATTGGAGATGCAATTTTTAATATGTGGTGAATAGCTATTAAACCCACATTTTTTTAAAATATATGATAGTCTAGCCAATATATCATTTTCTCCCCAAAAGAGCAATTCATGAGTGGTACTAAAAGTATGAGTGCTGCTTTATTTTGAACGGGACTCTGAATCACACAATATATTCATTTACTTTTTATTGGCCAGCAAATATTTGCAACTAGCCTGTTGGGTTCTTTAGAACCCAAATTAAACAATTCTGAAGTGTTCGTGATTGGATCATACAACTCCTTAAGAGCCTTGAAAGTGTCACTGTATTGAGTTTTAGTTGGCTCTGCCAGTGATTCAGCTCCCAAAGCCACTGCTCTTTCTCCGCTCTGTCCCTGAAGTCGTGCAATCCGAAGTGACTGAGATGCTGTGATTTACTCTGCACCCCCTGCACTGCCTGCACAATGCCAAGGAAAAGACTTCAGCAGATGGCTGGGGTCCTACTGCTGCCTCTCTTGCTCCTCTGCATGGTGGGAAGCAGAGTAAATTGCATTTGTGCATCCGTCTGAACAAGCTTGTTTCGGTTAAGTCCGTACAAGAGGTGCGTGATGAAAATAATCACAACACGTGTCCATGCATTTACAGGCCCAACACTGTAATTACTAATTCTGTAGTATAACAATGCAGAATGTGGGAAGAATTGTCTAAATACACAATAAGCCATTTAATTTTGCTAATTGTAGCAATTAGACTAGCTTGCATGAAGCCCATGCTCTCAGCAGAAAGCCAAATGGAGTAAGTGGCAAACAGCCATTTATATACTAGAGACATTATGTTATTAAACCCTCCCTTGATTGTTTATAGAAATATGTCTTTTCATTAAGGCATTGAATCCATTCCTCTTTATTCTGATAAAACAGATAAAATGCAAAATGAGAACAAATTCTTTTAAATCTGGGAATTAAAAAACCCACAACAGATTA